TCTATGTTTTTCAATAAATACAAGTGGGTCAGCTAGGGGAGTGGGATTTTGACTCTCTTCTAGTCTGGCCGAACCTTTCTTTCTTCTTCTTCTTCTTCTTCTTTCTCTTTTCTTTCTTCTTCTCTACTTCAACCTAGAATCTGCTAGGGTTTACTAACAAGATGAAACACGTTTCGAACCAACGACACCTTTCTGGTTTCCTAGATGTTGCTCCCACAAAAGATTCCTTTTCTGTGGGACGGGAGAAGAGAGAGAAGAGGCAGCTGCTCTCTCCAGATACCTCCAAATCATGCAGGACTTGAACCGCCCCCTACAGAAAACTCCAAGGAACCCTAAAAAATTCGGACGCCACTTCCTAGGTCAAAATTGAAGAGTCCAATAGAAACAGGACTCTTCCCCTTTCTCCTGTTTTTCCTAATTTTGATGAGAAACCCTAGACCAGCTACAGGGCAAAATAGATTCACCAAAAAATCCAAAAACCGGGCTTATCTGAGGTCTTTGATTAGCCTCTTGAATCACCATGCAGTCGGCCGATCTAGGGCTGCATGAGAAAACAGCTCAAGGAACCTTCGGCCTTGCTCTGACACCAAGTAGAAATCACTGTTTGTAAATCAGGACGATTTCCTTGTGAAGAGAAAGAAAAGAAGATGAAGAGTTTCAGCAGTAGAGAAGAAAAGAGAGGAAAGGAGGAGTGGGATGTTAACCAGAATTGAATTAGTTCTGGCCGCCAACCCCTCATTATATTTTATACTATACTTAAAAGAATGAAAGATTACAAGAATTCCCTTAGTAGGGCAGAAACTAAAGTAGCTGAACAGTCACAACTTAAAAAACATAAGCTAATGGGCCTAATGCCCAACAACTTCCTAACTTAACAACTTAAAATAAGAACAGAACAACTGGGCCCAATAACTAGAAATTGGCCCAACTCAACACTTTCTATGCATGCAAATTACCCTCCTTGGATCTATTATCATCAATTGTTTGACCAATGCTAAAATGTAGTATATATGGTAGAAATTTAAAAGCAGTTATGCAAAAGAACTCATGGGTAAAAGGAGGGAAAAAGTCACATAAACCTCATCCTATATAAATCAAGATGATAAACTCCAAGATAGAACCCCCACAAGTTGTAGAAGTAATTTTAATGCCTACAGAAAAAGTCACTCATTAAATTTGAAGTGCTAGCATAGAGTATAAGATTACAGTAGCGGAACATGAGTCTGTTAAATCTTCTCTACAGCTCTTTTAGAATTTGGACATAATTGGATCTTTCTATGTTTCTATTTTCAGGGAAATGGTTGCATACATTGCCAATACTCTAATTTTCATCTTAAGGTAAAAATTTTCCTTGGTACTCTGTTACATGGTATTTTGAATTTATTGTTCTTTTGACACTCTTGTGTCATATGTGTTTTAGTTTCTGGGCTTGGGCCTAGATCCAGTTAAAACCATAAATATATATGCCTTATATATTGTACTATGTTAAGTATAACATAGATTTATATATTATATGCATCATATAATATAAAGTAGTATTTATTAAAGATCATTTTAAAGTTTGTAGGCCAAGAAGGGTGGCCTGGCCTGACCCAGCCCAGCTCATCCCATGATCACCCTAGCATTTTTGATGCTTCCCAAGTAAAATAAATAGAGTATGAAAAGAAAGAATAATTTAAGCTATTCTAATGCTCCATTTGTTTTTATTTGAACATTAAAAAGGTTGAAATGATAGTGAATTCTCAGTATTTCGTGTACAGTATATAAGATGCATTTAATTGACCTTCACATCCTCATGCTCTTGCAGTGGAGTTGTTATAGCTGAAGGTGTTCTGAACAACGAGAACCATTTCCACAACCATGGTAGTCTCCAATGACTTGTTATTGCTTCTATATTTCTTATATGTGTGCATATAGATTGTTTTTATTTGGATTTTTGTGGGATGAATGGTCATTATGTTTATTCCAAAGGAATTAGGAATTAAGGTTCATAAATTCATCAAATGATTTTACACTGGAGCATGTGATGGTAATTGATGGGTAGAACTTTCTGAGAATCTGTTCAATGGAAGACTTATCATTTTTAAAGAAATTATTTAATCAGGTTTAAGGGGGATATCAATAATATGTTTCTCTTAATCTAAATATTAAATATTGGAAAAAAGTTGAGATCCAAGGTACTGATTAAAACCTTTAAATTATATCTAGGAAAGCCCCCGAAAATTCCCAAGGATAGCATTGCTCAAGATAATGTTGGATTAGCAAGCTCTTAGGGGGCATGTAGTGTTCATTGGGGAAATGTCGATTCCGGTAAAATTTCATGTCACTACCCATGGATATGGAAATATTAGGGTAATTAGGGATATTTTAAACCATGTTCCCGACAAAGAGCTCCCACTTTAGGGGGCATGGGTTTGGACCAAATTCTAAAACAAGCGTTATACATTTTGGGATGTGAAATTACAAAAATAACCCGAAGTGGTTTTAACATATGACCCAAAATCAAAATTTTAGAAGTTCCCCTAGTGTTCTGATTTTACAGATTTGATCTCCAAAATTTGAGGTTGTGGCTGAGTTAAACTAATCTTAGGGCACCTTTGTAGTGCTCCAAGGCAGCATGCAGCCAATGAAGCCATGTGGATCTCACAACTAAGTTTTTTACCCAAAACTGGTATTCCCTAACCAAGTTTTTTTTTTTTTTAATTCAGCATAATTTTTTTATTGAGTTTCCTGGACAAGTGATCAGATTTATTGGTATTGAAGTTATTAGGAAGCTATCAGATGTTGGTTTACAAAAGTATTTTAAGGAATTTATTTGAATCTTAGTGTTCAATTTCCTTCTGGATTTCAGGAGCTTCATGGGGATACCTTATTCTTCTCTATGTTTTTGTCCAAATCTCCCGCGCCTTAGTTGTTGGAATATTGTATCCCTTTTTACGGTATTTTGGGTATGGTCTGGACTGGAAGGAAGCCACTATTCTTACATGGTCAGGTTTGAGAGGGGCTGTTGCATTGTCACTATCACTATCAGTTAAGGCAAGTCCTGCATAGATTGCAACATCTTGCCAAATTCTGTTTAGATGATGTAAATTTCTTAAATCCATTTATTTCTAGCATAATCTTATGTTTTTGTGTATGTATACTTCATATTTCTAGCATGGAAGTATCAATTTAAGCAGTTATACATGTAGAACGAATTTATCTCATCAAAGCATTTATTTATTTATTTATTTTTCATTTGAGTTTGGGGCTAAAATTTTTTATGCAGTTTCAACAATCTGATGTAATAGTAAATCGATGTTAAGCATTGTGCTTCCATGATACATGAAATTCATGGGTTTTGTATGTTATATGCACAGAATAAAAGGAAGTATAGATCCTCTAACCTATAAGAATAAAGTTGAATAATAGATTCCAGAAGGTAGATAGGAAAAAATAAAAAGGAAATGTCATGCTTGATTTATCATCGCCTTCTGCTATTTTCCACAGATCTCTGATGTCTCATAATAATAAGAAAAAAACCTGAATACCAAAGACACAAGATGTTAGAAGGTAACTGCATGCTAGTTTCACTTCCTTTAAGGAAGAGGTAACCTAAGAGCAGAAGTTGCTTACTATTGTGAAGGCATTAAGGTGAGAGTGAAGCAAGTTGGCAAAAACAACTATAGGCATAAGGGTTAGGGTTTCTAACTTTGTGAGTGGATTGACAACTATAGGTTCCTTCAAATTTAAAAGTACCATTAACATGTCATAAACATTGAAAGGATAAAAGATGGGTATAAAAGTCTATACATAAATATTTTTTATAAAATATAAATATAAACAATAAATAGTTGAGCAGATCAGGTCTTAAACAAATTGAACCAAGTGATATCTGAATTTGATTCAATTAGTGAAGGGACCAAATTTTCATTCTGATTTGATTTATTCAAAATAAAGAAATATCCGAGTCCAGCTTTAAACAGTTTAACTTTGATTTCAAATTGGACTTATATAATCTCTTTTCTCTTCTATTAATAAATTTTTTATTTTTTATTTATTATCAAAAAAATAAAATAAAAGTCTAGGTAAGAACTGAAATATGTTGGTCCTTTTGACCTTTTATATGCCACTACATTAGCCTTGCATAACATGGTGTAAGAATCATTAGTAGTCTAACTCCTCCCACATGCATCTTGATAATGCATAATAACTTGCATGAAATCTCTCCTCCTGCCAATGATGGGAGATCTTCTGGCTCAATTGATAAGTCTAAGCAAAGTTCTCAACTTGTGAGTATGTCTCTGATGCTGCATTCTGAACTGCATTGGTTGTCTTCAGGAACAAGAAGCCACTACTAATGTCCGACTGCATTTAACTTACAAGTAAAGACATAATAACCAAGTTTTCAATCAATAAACATTTTAAGCGACTGAGATCACTAACAATAACTTGTTCTATCAAGCTTCACACCAATAAACTGAATCTCAATATAATCCAATGTTGGTGAATAGTGATAAAGTGTTACACTTCTTATAACATGCTTGGGAGACTTATCTTTGTAAATCTTACTTGCAGCCAAGGTAAAAGAAAATAAATCAATTTATCAGACATGCGATGATCGAAACCCAGTCACAGGGTTTGCTGAATCAATTCCAGGCAAACAAACAATCAACTAATCAATGGAATTGGTATTGACAAACAACCAGCATAGAGTGGCCTTTGAAAACTGTTACATGTGGAGAAAAAAATTGGAACATCAACCAATCCTACAAACAGGTTGAGTTTCAACCCTAGCAAGATAGAAAATCTTCCACAATACGTCCAACCAGCCTTGAGACTGAGATAATGGTCTGAAAAATTAGAAAATAAGTTGGATGGTGTAGAGAGACTGGGCCAAATGGGCCCTAGCCCATTAGTGTCTTTCTTATTAGTTCTTTCATGCTATGTTTTCTTATTGGGCCTTTAGTTATTTTTATGTTTTTCTAAGTTTAGTGCTGATGTGGATGCCTACTTAAGGGCCTCCTTGTAATTTATGTAACATAAGTATGTTTTATAAAAGATAAGAGTAGGGGAAAGTGGAGATTTTCGAACTCCTCCTTTCTTTCTCCTTTCTTCTCCGATCTTCCTCCTTCTCTGATTTCCTTTACTTAATTCTGAAATATTCTATTGATTTTATTAGTTTTGAATCACATCTGATGGAAAATAGGAGAGGAAGAAATCAAAAAAGCACCATAGCAATTCTGGCCTAAAGAAAAAAATGCTAGGGGATAAACAAGCCAATCCTCATAAAAAATACAAATAAAAAAAGAAAAAAATATAACCTTCATCTGTTGCATATGAGATATATATATTAGACTGAAAAATTCCAAAGAGACTTCCTGTGGGATGGGGGAGGGTGATTAGAGAGATCATTTGCTTAATTGGCAGGTAGTTTGCAAGACCTAGTCTGATGGCCTCTGTAATCTCGAGTATGTATGGAAGGAATAGGAATTGATGGGATATCAACCTCTGTCTCAACAGAACTTCTTCTGTCATCCCTTGGAAAGGTATTGATTCCTACTTTGACCTCTTTTCCCCTTTCTTGAGATTTAGTGTAGGAAATGGCGATAGAATCAAATTCAGGACCTATCTTTGGTTACATAAACAACTTTCTTGACTGCTTACTCTAGCTTCTTTGGCCTTACCTTAAATACCTTAAATAAGGAGGCTGTAATCTCCTCAGTTATTATTAAAGGGGATCATGATTTCTCCTTTAACTTCAATTTTCATAGAGTCCTTACAGATGCTGAATCCCAGGACATCTCTTCGCTACTTTCCTTCCTCTCTTTGGTGTTCATTACCCCTCCTTCCTCTGGTAAGAAAATTTAGTGGCCTTCTTCTAATGGCCAGTTTTCTGTTAAATCCTTCTTCCTTAACTTGGTGGCAGGCTCTCTGAATCCCTCTTTCCCTAACAAAAAGATTTGGTTTTCTGTGGTACCTCTTAAAGTGTACTTTTTTGTTTGCGAGGCTTCTTGTTGCTGCATCAACACTTTTGACAGGATTCTAAGTAAGAGGAATGGTCATTGTATATTGCTCCTCGTATTTGTTTCATGTGCATGAAAGTTGGGGAATCCTGTGGCCATCTTTTGATCAACTGTGAGATAACCTGCACTCTTCAGCAAATTTTTATTGATTTCTTCTGTAATAGTAGCTACGATTGGATGCCTCCTAATTTGGTTGAGAATTTCCTTAATCAATCATCTGGTTGCAAGTTAGGAAAATGAGGTATTATGTTTGGGAGAGCTGTGGTTCGTTCTGTTATGTAGTGCATTTGGGAGAAGCGCAATAAGAGACTCTTTGAGGGAAAGAGATCCACCTTAGAAGATATGAGAGGAAGAATCCAGTTTCTTACTAAGTTATAGATGAGAGTTGATAAACAGTTCAGAGGTATTTCTGTTGGGGACTTGGAGAGAAGCTTGAAGGAAGCCTTGAGCTCTTCTTGAGGTATAGATTCCATCAGTCCCATGTTATCCCCAAGGCCACCTTCTGAGTTTATTTTACAGTTTGATGGCAGCAGCAGGACATTAAGCCACTGGGGGATAGGCTGGGATTGGAGGCTACATTTTAAAGGCCAATTGTGACCTTATTTGGGTTTTTAGTGGTCCAATTGGGGAGGCGGAGGCTGTTGATGCAGAAATCCATGCCTTATTGGTGGGCTTGAGATTTGCAATAGCTCTTAGCATCACCTTGGTAGTGGTGGAAGGAGACTCAAGATTGGTGATCCATTGGAGGATGGCCCATGGAGATTGTTGTAAGGCTTAATTGTTCTTTATAACTGCTGTTAGTAGGACAGTTTCAGCGACTAGCCCTTTTTTTCTTTCTTTTCTTATTGTTCTTATCCTAGGATATGCCGCCAGTGGCATACTTGTAATTTAATCTCTTTTATAAAGATTAATATAAATAGAAAACTGGCGGCAGCCAGTACTGATTTTTTCTCCTCTCTTTCTTTCTCTCTCTCTTTCTCTCTCCCTCTCAATCACCACGAGCGACCACATGGTATCAGAGCAGGCTTTCTGGGTTGGAGGAGACCTACGATCCTAGCTTCAKCCTTTCTAAAAGTGATTGGACGTGGCTACCTTTACAGAAACCCTAGCGGCGGCTTGTTTTCAGTCCTCTCTGGTGGCTGTATCTGCAGAAACCCTAGTAAGTTCTGGCAGCTCCTTCTACTGAAATCCTAGTGGTCCCTAGTGGCGGTTTTCTGAGAAACCCTAGCAGTTTCTGGTCGTAGGGTGGTGCTGGTGCAATGAAACCCTAATCGAAGAAGGGTGTTGATGGTGCAAACTCCTCGGTTATCCAGTGCTGAACAGGTGCGTTTTTTGTTTCAGTTTTTCTCAGTACTCTTTATCCAATGGTGCGTAGGGCTCATGCCTTGATTATATGATTACTAGTTTGGACATTGGATGGTTAGAGTGGGGGAACCACATTCAGACTGACAGTAATGTCTGTATTGGTGGTGCTGAACCGATGACCGGACTGTTTACTGTTCTGTTTGGACGTTGTATTGACTGAACCCTTATTCTCAGCAGTAGTCCCCGTGTTCTCAGCAATTTTCAATAATTTGTTGCTCACCTTCTAGGAGCAAATCCTAAGTTGTCACATTCTAGTTGTGGCGGCTGTGCTGTTGGGTGGCATTTGGACTGGTTTTTTTGTAGTATTCAATGGCAAGTCATGAATTAACCTCACCGGGGAATACACCAACCCGCAACACAGCAGGTATGGGAGGTGAAAACATGGTTTTTCCCATGCCATTTACCCCCTTGAACGATCTGAACTACCTGGAGTGGGCTAAGAGTGTAAAACTCTATGTAACGGCAAGGGGTAAGGCTGGTTACATCAATGGAAGGGTGAAAGAACCCAAGGGTGAGAAGGCCGAACATGATAGGTGGGACCAAGAAAACAATATGGTGATGTCTTGGCTCCTCGCAGCCATGGAACCTGCTGTGAAAAAGAATTTTATGTGTGCAGACACCGCTAGTGAGATCTGGGAACAGGCCAGAATTACCTATTCTGAGCAAAGGCATTACGCCAAGGTGTACCAATTGCAAGCTGAATCCTCAACATGTAAACAGGGAAACCGTAGCTTGTCCTCATATCATTCAGCCCTTACCTCCATATGGAAGGAGTTGGACCATTATCAGGCCATAGAGTGGAAACACGATGATGATGCTAAGGCCTACAGGAAGCTGGTCTCTCAGCAACGAGTGTTTCCTTTCTTGTTAGGGCTGAACCCTGTATATGAACCATTGAGGGTGCAGATCCTAGGAAGCAAAGAATTGCCTACGGTACACGAAGTATACTCCCTTGTTCAATCTGAAGAAAGCAGTTGCCTTGGCTGCGATAAATAACAACTCAACAGGAAAGAAAGGTGATCCTAAGAAGGCAGATGATAAAGATAAACTATTTTGTACCCACTGTAGACGGTCACGACATACACGTGACACTTGTTGAGACATCCACCGGAAACCCAAGTGGGCAGCAAAGAATCAAGAACAGGGTAAAGGTCATGTGAAAAGAACAAGCACAACACATGTGGCAACTCCAGACACTCAAGTTGCCGGTAGTACCCGGGACCCCCCTAATAAGCCTGACCCCAAGGAGGATATAATGAATTCATTCAAAGAGCACTTGGAATCTTATGGTAGGGCATTGCGGCAAATGGACAGCTCAGTCACTGGTACTCCCTCTACTTCTTTTGCATCTACTTCAGGTAACGTGGCTTCTGCATTCCATGTCACTCCCACAGATTCCCCTTGGATCATTGACTCAGGGGCCTCAAATCACATGACTGGTAAGCCTAACTTATTCCAGTCTTATAGCCTTTTGTCAGGAAGGGATAGAGTGAGACTTGCAGATGGTTATTTTTCTT